CTGCTACAGGAATCTCTAGGATTGTTTTTATCTTTAAGATGTATTTTGCAGTTTCTAAGTCGTCACATTGAATAAGGAGCGACCCGCTTTTTTGGAATCTAATACTTTTAATTTTTTTTGTCGGTACAGAAGCATTTAGGTCTGCTTTAAGGCGTACTGGTGAGGTCTGAGGTATAGCACTAGATTTTTCTTTTGCTTCAATATTAAACCAAAAGTCTGCTGAGCCGTTGTTTTTAGCATGAGCCAAAATATCTTCTATGGGCTCCTTGGAGCACCACTGGTAGTCTAGGAGATTGGTCATTTTGACCAGATGGCCCCCAAAAGGTAAAGAGTAAAAGTGGCTTACCTGTTTTTTGGTAATCCTGAAATAAGGAGGGAGATTTTTAACATCTAACTATAAATGCATGGATGTTCGCTTATTATCCAACAAAAAAAAATGATATTCAGAAAATAATAAAAATTCGAAATAGAAACTTAAACGTGGCTTTTCTTTAGTCACATTACTCTCGCTAAAACCTAGTTATTAACCAACTGACTTCATGAAAAAGCTTCGGAAAACATCAATCTCCAATTGAAAACTCCAACTCTAACACTACTACGATCAACACAGTAAGTTTTAAAGTCGACACGTCCGAGCGGACCTTCGATCGATCTGAGAAAACTCTTTTTTTCTGCACAAATTTAGGCTCCACAGTGATGATGACATTTCACTTATCTCTAGAAACTTACAAAAAATTTTAAGTAATAACATTTTGAATTTAGCAGTCGATGTGGTAGCTAATACGGGTTTCTTAAACATAAAAAAGTGGCGCATCACAAAAGCCATTGAATTATTCAGAAGAAGTGCTGGGCGCAAAAACACTATAAATTGAATTTACTAACGACAGAATTATACATTAAAAGACTACCACTCGTTAGTATTTATTCGCTGTCCGGAGCAAGTTGGCATGCCCATTAAAGAACTTCAGGAACTTTTGAAAGACGAGAAAATCATCTCATTACTCATCTCCCTGCTCCCAGCCCTAAAGACATAGATGAGGAGCCTCACCATCAAGCCTGCTATATCTTTCATAATGCCTTTCATTATTTTATAGCATTTCAGGTTCTTCTCCGAACCACCAATACAACTTTCTTATGTATGTCCCTTTGGGATATTTCATGATGAATGGGATAAGGGCCATTTAGGCCTCAGATGCCCAGTTCTAAAACAACGAGCGAACGAAAGTTGGCATGCCTAAAATGCTATATATCTATTCATTCTGTATTTCCTATAATAATGATCTCATTAATATTGTAATTATTTTCTGAATAGAAAGATAAAAACACAAAAATAATTAGGCACTACTGATATATTTTTGCTGTTAAATAAATAAAATCTCATTTGCTTTTTATGTATTAAAATACGAAGTTTTGATCTTATTAACTTTTATGAAATAAATTCTATCATTTTAGCATACCTGCGGGTTACCTTATTAATCCCTGTGGAGACATGACTGTAATAAATGATATCGATATCACCGTAAAACCTTTCAGCTCAGTTATTTCAACGCGAAGTTTAGAAGCCAGTTTTTCAGCTGGTAAGTTTTTTTCCTCCCTTTTTTAATTTTTTGTGTGGAATCGGACGATAAGATTTATAAATCAGATAGCTTTAACTTTTATAACGCTAAGTTTATATTTGCATCAATTTGGCTAGTGTCTTTTTTTGCCTCCGATTCTCTATTTTGAAACATAAATAGTGGTAAATATATTGTTTTATTAAAATATTTTTTTAGACTGTCGGCTGTCTATCCCTCTATAATATGTATAACTTTAAGAGATTATTAAGAAAAATTATTGTTGAGCATTTTTTCTTTCAAAATATTATAGGGATGCCCTACAAAGTGGGTGGAAGTATGTCTCAAGAGCCTATAGTTCTATATAGTGGACAAGGATGGAGTGGTTTCTTAGAATTGTTTTTTGTCAAATTCAACTTTCAGAATAAAACTGGATATGGATTGTTTCTATCAGGGTAAATTAATTTTATTTAAAAGAATGCCTTATAGATAGTCGTTCTAAACATACATGGGAACGTTACTTTTAAAAAGTAGCGAGTAAAAGTACAATGACTTAAATCAAGAGAAAAGAGTAAAAAGTTTTGCTTTTAAAAAGTGATTGCTAAAAAGTACAAGTACAAAGCAACAAAGATAACGATTTTAAAGTACAATTTTCATACCTGACAACTTTTACGCATTTGGCGTAAAATTTCATTTTCATATTTAAAGTGGTAGTTAATATATGCTATTTTTTTTCCTAAAAACTTAATTTTTAAATGATTTTGATCACCACTATTCTTAAAAAAAATTAAGCACATATATTAATGTGCGTTTCACTCATGGTTGTCAGCTTAAGTTTCTTCAAATACAACGTATTTTTTTGCTTAAAATTGAAATTTTAATTCCGTTTTAATACCACTGGGAAAAATGATAATGGAAAGGATTAAAAGTTGGCAGGTATGAATGTGAGCAAATCTAAAATTTAAAGCAATCATAAGTTTCATTGAAAAATGTAAGAGCAATTTATTTTTTTTTCTTAATATATATATATATTCTCTTTTTGGTTGTATAAATCGTTAAATGGCAATGAATATTATTTTTTTCAGTTCTTAAACGAACATTACATTTAAACCTGTTTTAATTGCTTTTATTTTTCTTTAAAAAAATCAAATAGGGAGGTGTATAATGAGCCAGCGAAACCAAAGATCCCTATACTTCACACTCTTTATCCTAAAAGTAAGTAGCTAATTAATTATAATTTCATTTAGAAATGAGTTTTATACGAAATAAGAATAAATCAATAATAAAACTCACATTTGTTTTAGTAAATAATTACTTTAGAATGAAAATTATAATTGTAAATTTATTATTTTGTTTTGTGAGTTTATCAGCATAATTTTGAAATTTAAAAGATGAATGAGGAAGATGAATAGATCATACAATACCTGTTCTAACATATACTGAAATACTAGTTCTAATGACTTTTTCCATTTCCTGACCATACATTCAATCCTTCATAGCTGCCAACGGTCGTTGAGAAATAATTTTTTTAGCGTTTCAGCGTTTTAGTTCAGTTTAAAGTTTCAAAAACATATTTAAAACTACCACGACGAATCAATAATTTAAAAAAATATGCAGATAAGATCAATTTGCAGGCTATAGATGTTATGTTTGTAGAGGTCTTAACTGTTTTGTTTTTAGAAAAACTTTTCCAACCCTAATTTGGTTTTTACTGCTACTTTGTAAAATCTTTTCAACGACCATACAAGTTGGCAGGTATGATCCTTCAAATGAAGGTATGTCCATCCAGTTTGTGAAGTTTTTTTTACAAAAAACTGTGCAAAAAGTTTTTTTTTGAAATGCTGTTTTCAGTGGTAGAGAACTTAAATAGACACTCAGAAAACAAATTCTAATTCTGAATCTATATCTTAGTACCTGCCACCGGAGGCAGGCTGGATATTCACATGATATCTAAATTGTTACATTTAGTGCTTGCAGTTGGTTTGTTCACTTAGTAATACGGGAGAAGAAACGGGCTGGGACCACTTACTCTGTTGTGGGACCTTTAGTGCACTTCACAAACTGAGTTCGCAAAGTATTGGGAAGCAAGAAAACTTTTAGGGCAACGATGTCGGTCTTGTTTTGTCCTCTCATATACATATTTATACTTTTATATCTTTATATTTTTTAGATATTTGTGATTTTTGCTTTGCCATTGGAAACAAATTGAAATTTTATATTTTACTCATTTGATTCAATTATATATGTAGTGGCGTGCAAAACTCTTATAAGTTTATTAAATATTAATATACATCCTTTGCTACCACCAGAAAAAAATATATTCTTTAACCAGTGAAATTCTTTACGAGCTTAAGGGTATGATTTTACTCTAACTAATAGATTTATCAAAAAAGGCCTTCTCCAGGGCAAAATAACTTCACTATTTTATCAATATATGTCCATGGCACAGCAATCGATTTTAATTGATAATTTTATAGATTCTTCAGTCACGCTCATTGGCACTCTGTCGATTCTATACATCACACTCTAATAATTACTAACACTGCATTCGCAGCCCAATAACCAATCATTTACTTGCATTCATTTTATGATTTTGTAAGCCAATCTTTTCTTTCAATTCCTCATTAAAACTATTACAAGACTAAGTATCACATGATGCAGGGGTAAAAGGCCTTTGTCAATCAAATGACTATGACATAATGAAGATCAATCAATCAATCAAATTACTATCACATAATGGAGAAGGGAAAGGCCCCGCGAGGCCAATAGGCCCATATCAATCAAATTACTATGGAGGGTATGATTAGAAAGACTGCACCAACTATTACTCTTTCTGAGGAAATATTTCCCTTTCGTTGTTTTTTCTAAATGATATGCAATGATGGATAAAAATCTGAACGACTGAAAACTTTTTAGTGCGAAATTTAAAACATGCGTCTGTTTTTAGCATTTATCTATAGACAAACAATATTTAACAATACAAGCATCCTTTTAAATATAAAATTTATCATGATTCAAAATCAGTTTTTTTTTATCTAAAATCATTCTGCTGTTACATTGTAGAACTAAATTTGCGGCCTAAGGAAAAAAACTTCAGCAGAGTTTAAATATAAATATTTTCAACTCTTTTTAGTATAATTTTCTTTTATTAATTCAGTAAAATGTTGAGTAAAAAGTTATTCATGGTGGTTTCTGTTTAAGTTGATTCCAAAAGTGAAAATGAATGTAATTATTTTTACTTTAGAAGTACCTTTGACAGTCAAGTTCACCGACGAGATTTCTCAATTTGGAGATATTTCTGGTGGAAAAGGATCATCTTTGGGAAAGTTGACCAAACTGAGTCGAAAAGACAAATCAGTATGTACAGTAAAATATTCTTGGATTTCATTTTTTTTGTCAATATTTAATTTGCTATTTTAACAGCTATTTGCTGGTGCAAAAGAAGAAAAATAGGACATAAAATCTAAGGTATTAAAATTTTACATTCATATCTTTCAAATGATTAACACATGCAATGTAAAATAGATCTTTATAGATCCAAAATGATAAGGTCACAGTTAGTTTATATATTGATCAGTTTCTTATTGATAAGCCATCACAAAATGGAAAAATTCCTACCTGCCAAATTCTCCTAGTTGTCGGTCATAAGAAATAATTTTGTAGCTTTTTGTTCCTTTATTCTTAAGGTTTTCAACAAAAACTAATGATTTCAATAGCGATAAATGTATTGTACGAAATTTCGATACCTATAATTGAACTGGGCTTGATTTTGATACTTATAATTGATTTCGATTACTATAAGGAATTCTGTTCGATTTTGATAGTGATGCATGAATTATGCTCGATTTTGATGCCCATAAATAAACAGTTCCAAAAGCCCTATTACACGGTCTCCAGTAACTCTACCGATACGGAAAGTTCTCTTCGGCATCTTCGGAACTTCGGCATCTCTCTGTCACGGTAAAAAATTTCCGAAGATATTTCTCTAATTTGAGCTCTTTGGTATGTGACTCTCGAAGGGGACAACTTGTAGTTTCCACCTGAAGTACGTTTAAAATCAAGTAAACCAACAGTGGAACGAGAAGCTCTAGTTGAAAAGTTAAAATTTGAAAGTTTCTTTCATAAATGGTATTATATAGTGTTCGCCTTACTTTATTTTGCTGGTTCGTTAAGTATTTGCAGAAGTGGTCTGAACCTTCTTATAAATTGAAAAGTCATTTACTTTAGCCCATTTGAAAGATTTAATTTAGCTTGTTAATATATTTTCGCTAATTTAAAATATGAAACATGATCATCAAGCCTTGTCAGGTCTATTAACAGTTAGTAATCCATAAAAGCTCTTTTAAAACCTCCCTCCTTCAGTCGGAGTCATTGTATATATGAACATTTTTATAGTTTCAAGATGTTCCCTTCTTTTGGAATATGCTCTATAGCAGGGGTGGCCAACATGCGACTCGCGAGCCATAGGCGGCTCTTTGAAGGATTATTTGTAGCTCTCGATAAATGTACCCGAGTTCCCTTTTCATTTTTGTGCAATTATATTTTTAAAAAAATTACTATCATTCCTTAACGAATCGACAAATATCACAGACCTTCCGCAATTGGCAGTTTTCATACGTTTTGTTTCACCTGGCTTCGTTGTTAAAGAAGAATATTAAGATTTATTAGCACTTCAGGAGTCAAACTGCTGTGTCGATACTAAACATGCATTAGATTCCATAATGAAAACTTTTGATGTGCTTCTTAATAAACTTGTAAACATTGCAACTGATGGAGCTCCGGCAATAATAAAAAAAAATCGGTCTTATTGGGATTTTGAGAGATGATTCTCAAATTCTACAATTCATACCGAGTCACTGTATAATTCTCCGAGAACATCCCGTTACAAAATATTTAAAATATCCTGATGCTATGAAAACAGTGTTACACATGGTAAATTACATTCACACCAATGCAAAAAATCATCGACAATTCAAAAATTTTCCTAAAGAATTAAAGGACGAAGAACTTCCAAATGCCATTAATTTCTTTTGCGTTGTTAGATGGTTATCTAGCTACAACGTATTTAGGTTTGTTTGATCCGATAACTGCATTTCTAAAAGAAAAGGAAATACCCTATTCAGAATTAGTGACGAGTGGTTACAAGACTTAATGTTTTTAGCTGATGTCATGGAACATTTGCAAACACTGAATTTACAATCGCAGGGGAAAGATAAAATAATATTTACTCTCACATCGTATATTTAGTTTTCAAACTAAATTACAACTTTTTCAAATGGATATTAAAAACAAAACATTAGTAATTTTCCTCGAATTAAAAAAAATTGTTTCAATATTAAACAAGAAAAACTCAACGAGTATATAAAAAAGCTAGAAAGAATATTGACGGAATTACAAAATAGATTTCAAGACTTGAAATATTTTAAATCGTCTCTTGATTTTTTTCTGAATCCATTTGAAATTTATGTAATTTAAGGTGAGTGTTTTTCATTTCCAATATAATTATGACCCAAAAAGCATCGGGAGAAATAGAATTAATAGAGATGCAAGAAGATCAAGCTCTACAATTTAAATATAAGTCGACGTTGATTACTGAATTTTGGAAATTTGTTCCAGAATCGAAGTATCCTGAATTAAAAAAGACTGCTAGTAGAATTATTTCAATATTCGGAACAACGTACTTATGTAAATCATCTTATTCCACTTTAAAATTCGTGAAATCCAAACACTGATCAGTATTAACTAACCAGCATCTCAAAGAATTGCCGAGAAGTGCTATCACCAATTATTCACCGAATTTTAAAGAATTATCAAGAGAAGTAAAATAAATATGTTAATTTTTGATATTTAAATTCAATACACATATTTTGTACTTTTATTTATATGTTTCCAATATATTTATTTTCTGCAGAAAAAATTTCATACCAATCTTTTAAATACGTATTTAATTGTGGCTCATGAAAAATTTCAAATTTTGAAAAATGGCTTGACTATTAAGGAGCTTGATGGCCACCCCTGTTCTATAGCTTCAAGATATTCTCTCTTATAGCGTCTATTTTCTTCTGTCGGAATATGCCCTATAACTTCAATAGATGTCTTTCAGTCGGATTATGCCCTATAGCTTCAAAATATTTCCTTCACTCAGAATATATTCTATAGCTTCAATATATTTCCTTCAGTCAGAATATGTCCTAGACCTTCAATATATTTTCTTCGGTCGGAATATTTTCTACAGCTTTAACACGTTCACGCCGGGAAAAGTGAAAATACTGGTACGGAAAAAGAGAAAATACTGGTAGAAGAACTATTTCAATATTAAATAATATTCGGGAGAAGTTAATCTATTCTCAACAATAACAATTCACTGTAAGAAAATTTATCACGGCGAAGAAGCAATTTAATATAAAGATTGCATCCTTTAAAAACAATTGGTAGTTATGGATTTTTATTATTTCCGGAAAAAAAACTAAAAAATGAAATTTATTTGTTACCCGTTTTTCCTCCGGTGCGCCGCCAAGATGAGAAAATCTAGAGTGACCCACCGGTGGGTCACCCCGGCTTGAACGTGTTAATTTCCTTTAATCGGAATATACCTTATAGCTTCAAGATATTCCTTTCATTTGGAATATGCACTATAGCTTCGCGATATAACCTTCAATCGTAATATTCTTATTGTTTCAAGATATTCCCTTCTTTCGGAATATGTCCTGTAGCTTCAATATATATCCTTCAGTCGGAACATGCACTATAGCTTCAAGTTCTCTCCTTAACCCTTTCGCGCCGACTGTCACAAATACGTGCCAGCATAAAACAGTATCAATCATGGTAAAAAGATAAAACTAGTAACCAAAGTAGTTCCTTAGCAGTTTATTTGTGGGCGGGGTTATAATTGTTTGATTTATTTAATTCACCACTACTTTAGTTCGAAATACAGTTATTAGTTATACTTCGAGCTAACAAAAATTATATATATATGATTAAACTAACAGTAATTAAAGTAAAAGCAACGTAAGTCTGTCAAATTAGCAACGCCTACATTTAAGCTAACGTTTTTTATTTATTTACATCCAGATTCTGATTTTGTAGGAATGCTTTTATGAATCATCCGTCCCCAAGGTGTTAAGAAAGCACAATAACGTCTTTTTCATCAAATAAAAGAAAAAATCCAGTGATTCTTATGATATTTATGAAATTATTTTAGACATTCCGGTATATGGGACGTAATTAGTAAAAATAATAATTTAAGTTACAAAATCAGACAAGGAAATGTTTTTTCTCGGAAAAAGGAACATGCATTTGTTTCAAGATCATGATCCTCAAAATATGGGAGTTGGCCACAATCTTGAAAATATGGCATATTATAGTTTGGATAACATTCGAAAGTTCGGGAACATAAATGTTAATTTATCTTCTTGCGTATTTCGTCCTAAATCATGTATATTTTAAAGGAATAGAGCACTTTCTAAAAATAATAATAAAATTCGTTCAAAGAAAATTCCGTTCAAAAATTAGTTTTTAACTATTAATTATTTTTTGCCTCATTGATTAAAAATAGTTAAAAAAAATTGCATTGCTAGGTAATGAAAACTTTTTATTTCATTTAGAACAACGTAATTTAAAACAAAGTAGGTTGAAAAATTTCAACAGAATCGGTTCAATACTTTCTAAATAACACCGAAATGTGCTTGATTTCGATATTGATGAATGAATTGTTTTGATAACAATAAATGAGTGGTGAGTAGAAATGCTAGAATTATACTCATTTCTAAAATCAGTATTGCATACTGTTAGTTTTGACAGTCGGGGACCATATGACAGGATGGGCTAGGCAATCCCATCTTTTTAATCCTTTGACATTTTAAAAAAAGAGATTTTTTTGTCCCGTTTATGATTCAAAAGGACAAAATAGGTCACAAATAAGTCAAATATAGTATTTGGGATTTTTTTGACAAGCGGTTATCAATTTAGGGGCTGGGACATACATGTCCCGACCGCATGTAAACTCTCTTTACATACATAGTATCCCCAAGAGATTTTGAGCGAGCTGATTGGCTTTCTCGGCATTGCCTTCTGTTACATCTTTTTGTAGCTCCTCCCTAATAATATTTCTCCGTAGTTCGTTCCCAAAATGTTATAGTGAGTATAAGAATTAAGCAAGGCAATTAAATTCGATTTCAATGTTATTCAATAAATTAGAGGGATATTAGCTTCATTAGAATTCATGCAAGTAATAATCATAAATTTAACGTACAAAGCATTTCTCATAAAAATTAAATACAATTTTTTTTAAATAACTAAACCAGTTATTTACCTACAAACAAATCTTTGTCCATGAGATTTGGAAGTTCTAGAATTCCATTTCGTATTGGTAAGTTCCCCAAATTCCATTACCCACTTGTTGCAATCGTCTAAATTTAGAACATTGCTTTTAAAGGTAATGGTATTTGAGGAAATATTTCTTACTTCATTTTTAAATGAAGAAGGTAGTTTCTCTGTTGAAAAAACTGACATTTCAAGTTTGTACACAAAAGCTGGAGTATAGAAATCACTCTATGCTGAAAATAACAAGCATGGCAGAATGAAATAGCCATACGTCACAGATGGCGTTGCTGAGAAAGCCAATCAGCGCGCTCAAAATCTCTTGGGGATACTATGTGTGTAAAGAGAGTTTACATGCGTCCCGGCCGAACTTAATAGTGGGATACATATGTCCCACCTGTAGTGATCGACTTACTAAAAGCACATCTGTCATTCCGAAAAATTTATTACATGAACTTTTTTCTTACACGGTATGATACAGGGTGAAGCAATCTTTGCATAACCCGACATGGCACATTGGACAACTCATATTTGTTCTTTTTTCTATGTTCATTTGAGAAAATATGAATGGACATAACAATCCCAATGAAAAATACGAGTGGTATATATGTGTCCCAAAGAAGAATGCTAGTGGGATATATCTGTTCCAGCCCAAAATTACAATGCTATTTCATGCAAGAAACTCTTTAACGCCATCTAGGGGATATTTGACACATGAAACGCTTATCCTTATTTCGACTACGACTGGGACATATTGCAATGAGTTTCTAAGTGCTTTTCACCCCATTAGTAATTGTTAAACACTTGTTGGGACAAACAAGTGTTTAACAATTCCCGTTAGTAGCCAAAGGGTTAAGTTAGCCCTTCAATGCGCCATTTATTTCTAGTAAAGGTAATTTAAAGTATTTTTGAAATTGAAATTGTTATAAGAATAGTAATTGATATAAGAAAAAAAATTTGGTTTATAAAAATACCATTTTTTTGGTGGTAAGTATATTTAACACGACCTATTAGAAACTTATTGAATTTCATTTTTCTTCGTTTATAAAATAATTTTTATAAATGCTACAATCTCTTCAAAAGGATATATACATTTTATAACTTTCATACGTTTTCTTAAACTAACAATTGGTCACCAATTTATTCAAGCGATCTTCAAGAAAGCTGAAGTTATTAACAAGCGAAAATCTAATTTAAAAGCGTTGAAAAAGTTAACCATGGACTTTAAAAATTGGTTTTAAGTATACCTACCACGGCTTTAGAAAGGGTTAAAATATACATTGTAATTACTAGCATTTAATGCTTTTTTTATTAAAGATAACAAAATAAAATATAAATTTACTTTCTGCACCCCAAAACTATTATTCTTATACAAATAAATCTTATCTTATAAGAGTTACTTGCAATATATCTTGTATTATAAATAAAATAAACTGCAAATACGATGTTAGACGTATTATAAATAAGATATATTTGGAATATTTCTTATAATACAATCTTTTAATGTAATCTTATATTATATAATATTTCTTAAACAAATAAATCTAATATTAATTACATCAAAATATTCATATTACATATTTATAGACTGATTTGGCATTTAAAATTTATTTGGTTTTGCAGTTTATTGTTCCAAAGGGGATCGTTGTTACAACAGCTGCTTATGAAGAGTTTCTGACTCCTGATATACTGAATGCAGTGAAAAAATTAGAAAACGTTGCTTAGTGAGTAGTGAGAAGAGTTTAATTTGCTCATTTCGAATGTTTAAATTTTATCGCTAAATTGAATCGGAAAAAAACTAATTTATATGTTTATCAAAATTCATTTTTCAGCTTAAAAAAATAATAATTGAATAAATAAAAAGAGGGAGAAATTTTACTTAATTGCCATTGTTCATCTGGAAGAAGGAAAAAGTTTTCGCTAATCACTTAATTTTAAGATAAATACTATTATGACTGAAATTATTATACGCGAGTAACTTTACAATTAAAATTATTAAGTTATTCTCTTAAAAAAATTATTGAGGATAGCTAAAAGAACTGTAATTAACAGAACTTATTAAAAAATCTAGATATTTTATACTTAAATGAAAATATTGTTTTACCACTTCTTTTTAATTTCACGTAAAGCATTTTTCTCATATCTTCAATTCATTCAATAGCACATTAAAAATATATATTGAGCAGCACATAGATAGTTATGTGATTGTTAATAATAAGCAATGGAAGGGCAAATATGAATAAGTCTAAATTTATCTTTTTCAGTTTGATGTTTAATATAAGCATATTTTTAAACTAGTTCTGCATCCATATTTGAGGAGTGGAGATTGAGAAGGACATTATTGACTACTGCATTTTTAAAATCAAATTGATATACCAGAGTTTCCAATTGCCCCGGATTTGACAAATTATATTAAAGAACTGTAGAGAATCATTCACGCAATTCCTTGATATGTCCATCCATTTTTCCACCTAGGCGAATTACCAACCCGCCTTCCTTACCAGTCGAATATTGAAAACCTTGTACTATCGTCTTTTACGAATCCTGAATGATCTGAGAAACTACAAGTGGTTGAAACATGGTGCAGCAAATGGCGCACAAAACTACACCCGCAAAAGTCAATTCTTAATCATAAATAGTAAGAAAAAACAACAAAATACTCCCCACATTTATCTCTTTAATACTGAGATCAAACCAGTGAAACACGTTAAATACCTCGGCGTCACGATCTCATATAATTTAAGCTGGAGTACTCACTTAAACGACATAATCAAAAGAGCCAGAGGAGCTTTTTTTGCACTCAAAGTTCTCCTGCATAAGAACTCAAAGCTTGATCTAGCAAATAAAAGAACTATCTATATACAAGCGATTCGACCAATTCTTACGTATGCTTGCCCAGCCCTCACTACTATAAGCAACAACCTAAAAAAGAAGCTATCTACAACTGAAGGTAAATTTTTACGCATAATGACTTGCGCCCCAAGGGCGATTAGCAATAGATTACTCAGAAAAGACTTAAACATTGATGATATCAATTGCTTTATAGCTAAATTGACCACAAAATTCTATATCGACGCAAAAACATGCACCACATCAGATTTCAATAAACTGTTCGATATTGATATAATCCGTGATAATTCGAATTTCAGCCCAATTACCGCCTTTTTATGCTCAGACTGCATACTATCAAAATACTATTAACTTTATCATACAACTCTACTCAAGGGGATCTCCCCATTCCAAAGATGATTTTCACTTCAAAACTAAAGATTTACTTCTTTGAGGACTTGATTTGTCGTTACAACATACTACAACTTCAAAGATATTTAGGACCTCCCAGAATACGACAAAACAGAATCGATGAATCGGTTAGTGGCACTTTGCGCCAAACGCCGAGATAACCCCAATATCCAGCATCCAGCATCCAATGATCTGAGTGGCTAGGCATGATTCTTAATCGCCTTCACGAGATCATCACCAAACAAGACCAATTTTTTTTAAAAATCCTCAGTCAAAACTGTAGCAGAAGATCTCAAATTTCTGTTTGGACGCTGCTTTCTTTTTCTGTGTGATCGTAAAACTAGTTAATTAAGTGTTACCTTTTCGGCAGTATTTACACACTTCCGTGTTAGAAACAAACCTGCATCTGTGACAAAATTCTTAATTAAATTTCGTTTGATATTGGTATTTTATATTTTATTCATGCTAATTTTTTTAAATCTATTTTGAGAAAGTTTCAACCTTAGAGTACCTGCCTCTTAAATGAATTCTGAGGTTTTTTCAATCCTAATTAATTGTTTCTTATTCCCTCCATGAAAATTAGTTGCTTCACTTAGTTCGGAAATGTTTTCCCATGTTAGTCTCTACTTTTAAAGAAGGAGGAGGGAGAAATAACTTCCAATGCAGTAGAGTAGATCGTCACCAGTAGAATTATACTACTAATGAATTTACGATTCATTAGCTCGAAGATATATTTTAGTGATTACTGGTGGAAGAGTCCTTACAATATGGGTCATAGCTTAAGAGCGTGCTGATCCTGGATATTTGTAATTATTTTGTCATTGATTTAAGAAGAATTGGATGCAAAGCTTGGTAAGTAAAAGCTGTTAGTTGATAGCACAACACTCTAAGATCTGTGAACAATGTAAAAGAAAACAGAGAAAATCATCAGAATCAATAATCAGCACGAAAATATTAAAATGTTGCTACTAATTTGGAACAGGAGGTATTATTTGTGAACTTAGAGGGATTTGTGAAAATAAGGTCTATAAAGCAAGTCCTCATTCAGATTGCATAGTAAGTGTAGAGAACTGCAGGAAGCATCATTGAATTTTTTCACTGATTTAATATTCTGATTAAAGTGTATATAAGAAAAATGCTAAAAATAATCAATATCACTAACCTGTACAAAGCTATTCAAGAGTTGCAACTAATTTGGGACAGAGGGAGTATTATTTAATTTGTGAACTTAGAGCTATTTGTGAAAGTGAGGTCGATAGAGCAAGTCTTCATGCAGATTGTTGAAGTGCAGAGAACTGATTAAGTATTGATGATTTTTTTTACACCCACCTAATATTCTAATTACAGTATACCTAAGAAAAATACTAAAAATATAAATAAATTCTTAAAAATTTATCCTCTTTCAATTTCAGTGGGAATACTGAAGGAGAAATAAAAGATGAATGTGAAGCGTAAGTAACAAGCTTTAATTATTTTCTCTAAAATTATTTTTAATATGCAAGTTATTAGTTTTTCTTTTAAGAAAAAAGGCTCTCAAGCATTATTTGAGTAAGTAATTCAAGACGTTTGTAATTTTTTGCAGTGTTGCCAAAATCATTTTAAACGCAGCCCTGCAGAACAAGATATCGCAGAGTATTATGGAAAATTTGAAATCTGTTTTTGGAGATGGATTTAGAAACTATAAATTTGCTGTTAGATCATCCGCTACAGGTATTTCCTTCCTTCCTTTATTTAGTAAAGCTGGGCATCGCGCAGCGGCCCCTATCCCTTACATCATGAAATTAAAAACATTGAGGTAAAAACATTTTGAATTTAGCAACATTAGGGTAACTACAGGTATTTGAAATAGCTAAAAAGTATTTATAGCGAATTTTATGCATAAAAAGTGGTTGTTTAAACTTTACATTGCAGACGGACTTTTCTACGAACTTCTGCTCTTTCGTCAATTGGTTGCTGAAATAATATCTCTGGAATAAAATATTTATCAGTTTAAAGCAAACACATGCGGATACAGGAACTGACATGCAAATATTTTAAGATTAAAACGGAATTATATGTAAAGCACTATTACTAGGTTTGTAAAAATATGCTTTTAATTAACCAAAACCTGTCACGTAAAGCCATTAAATTAAAGGTTTTCATATGGAATAATAGCAAGTCAATGTATACAAAAAAAAACAGTTTCAAGTGTTAAAGACTTAAACGGAAATTATATGTAAGCACTACAAGCAAAATGATAAAGAAAAAAAAAGAATACCTTTAATTAACCAAAGCCGAATACTCAAAAACAATAAATTAAAAGCTTTCTAAAATGTAAGAAGTGTTGATAGAAGTGTTGAAATACATGTGGCAAGTTCTAAAACTAAACACGAAGAAAAAAATTGCTATTAATTGACCGAACCCTGTTATATGTAAAAACCTTAGATTAAGAAACTTTCATATGAAAAAAAGACAAGTGAAAATAGACAAAAGATACACGAGGCAAAGTCAATGCAACTTTGTTAAAAGTTAATGCGAAATTCATTTTAGCGAAAATATTTAGTCATGTCTTTCTTTTTATTTCTTTTAAATAAATACGATAACACTGAAAGATTGAAATATCAATACGCCGTTGTCTTCCAATAAATATTTTTTTTTTCATTCAGGGGAGGATACCGATGTGATGTCAGCAGCTGGTCAAATGGACACATATTTGGGAGTTCAAGGTGTACAAGAGGTAATTTAAAATTCTATTTCATGATTATCGACAACGTTAAATCTCAATTTTTTATTTTAGTAAATACTGTCATGCAATTGAAAAAACAAAGTATTTCCTATAGAATACATTTCAGGAAAAGGGGCTTGATGACTATTTTTGCCGTTTATGTTCAATACATTTGAGTAAATAACTTATGTTTAAATCATGTTCGTTATACAAGCGGTTCCCAATTTTTTCGGCAACGGTACCCTGCATGATCGAGCATCTTTCGGCCAAACCCCAAATTCATAAATAAAATTAGTAACTGTGGAAAAGAACTAGCAAAAATGAAAATAATAATGAAATGAAAATTACTGTGATCATATTCAATGTGAAGAATTAAATGTATTCAGGCATCGTTTTAACAATACGGTACTTGAAATTAAATGTTTTATTCAAACAGTTAATTTTGCGGGCCTGGAGTGGCATCTATAGAGTAGTTCTGAATTTGTTTTTATTGTTTTATTCATTAGTCTAGAGATAAAAGAAATTGTTGTAGCTTGTTTCCGATAGGTTTCTCCCACATAAAAGTTTTTACACATTTCTGCACACAATTCTTACTCACTGAGCTTTTTTTAAACGGCTAACCAGAGAATAAACTTGGTAAGTTCAATATCTTACTTTTCCTCTGTTCGTGTTAGATTGTAAAGGATTTTTTTTACTTGAAACCCCTTAACCATAGTAGTACTTAAAAAAATTACAATAAAAATTACCTGTTGAAACAAAATATTTAATTCCGTTTCCAGAGTTGGCCCTTTTTTATTTGATATTACTAAAATAGTAGTGCATTTTTCTTAATAAATGAGTGCATAAAAATGAGTATAAATATACATATAATTTTAGTTTGATTTTGTATTTATTATGCAATATTAATACTATGCAGATTTTTTATGCAATATTAATTGCTTTTATGCAGATATTCTATGCTGTCAAAAAATGTTGGGCTTCTCAGTTTGGACATATTGCTGTTGAATATAAAAAGTAAGAATTATATGCCACCTACATAGCTACCAACTCTTCCGGTTTTCCAGGAAGATTTTATTTTCATATTTAAGTGGTAGCAAAACTCCTGTTATTCCATTCAACTTTTAGAGTTAAAATAATATTTATAAATGAGTTTGACCACCACTACACATAAATAATTGCAACAAATATATGTAAGCCTAATAGTCTTTACGATTGTGAATATTAACCTGGCTAAAATATAAATGTAATTTTGAGTAAGATTGTTTTTTGGTAATTGTTTTACTACCACTTAGAAAATACAATCTCGGAAAAAGTGACAGTTGGCTGGTACGTACTTAGTTTTAATCTAAATACACATACATTTACACATACCCTCCGACTTATGAGGATTTTGAAAATAATTCTTTCTAGTGGTAGCGAACCAAAGTAGAAATTTTTAAAGCAAATGGATCTCTCATAAAACTTTTATCAGAACTTAAGAATCTAGCCATATGGCCTGCACTTTTATAAGTAATAGTGGAAAAGTTATGCTAAAATTAATTTTTTTTAAATATTAAGACATTAATTTTGCTACCGTCTGAAAAGAAGATTTCTGAAACTACGGAAATTCCGTAGCAGTTGGAGGGTATGCATTTACATACCTGCCAACATGTACAGCCGTTGAGAAATAATTTTCTTAATACAGCGTTTTGCCGCATTAAATCTTGAAGTTTAAAGTTTCAAAAAAATTAATCTACCACAACTAATCAAGAATTCGAAGAAAAAAAGTTTGATTAAATCTGTTGGCCAATACATGGTTCCCGCGGCTCTTGAAAAGTTTTCTAGTGGTTGTATATTTTAGTTAATGCTAGAAGATATTTCTTACTTTAAGAAACTTGCAATAATCCCTTTCGGAAGTATCCCACCAATACTTTTACTCCCAACATAACTGGAAGCAGTACAACAGTGTAAACTCTTAGCCTGCTTCTTGATTCTGTATTTCTCTCACGCTGACCACTTATACTGCCAGTATCTTAGCTGCTCTACAGATGAAACCCTTCTTAGCTCTACTACAGATGAAGGTGTAAGGTACCAACTTCGCGGGCAGGGATTCTGTTCTCAACTTCAGTCTATATCTAAGCTGATTATGCTTCATAGATGTCCTAATAGTTTTGTTTCTAGAAAATTCTTCCAAACTTAATAGTCGTTTTGCTATCCCTTTATAAAATCATTTCCAACGACCGTACGAGTTGGCAGGCATGTATTTGATATACCTTAAGGATGAAATGTATTATAATTATTTTTGTTCTCTTGATTGATTGTGTACATATTTTGTTTAAAAATTTATATTTATTTTAGACAGAATGGGCAGATTTTGAATTCACCAATGGCTGTTGTTATACAAGAGATGGTTGCTTGCGAAGTAGCTGGAGTTATTTTTACTTGCGATCCTGTGAACAATAACCCGGATGTTATTACAATAACAGCTAATTATGGCTTAGGAGAGGTAAGATACAGTATATCTGTTATCGTTAACTTGTAGTATCTGTTATTTAATAGATTAATTTGGTATTTTATGAAATAACTAGTTATTGAATAATTTAATATACTTTAACAAGACAGTTAAAGCATATGAAATTATTGAATTCTGCGATTAACTAGGTTTCCTATTGAATAACGATTACTTGATCTATAAAGTATAAGATACGGTACTCAGAAGTTCTTTAAACTTCTTAGTTCTTGCTGATTTCAGACAGTTTTGAACCGCTTATAGCTGCTTTGCAATGACGTGTGTGTGCGTGTACGCTTCATTTCGTTGCTTTTAGGCGTAGAAATTAGACTGCGTATTTATGTTAACCTTTCATATCTTGGTTTATTAACAATTTTTTTTCCTTATTATTTATCAATTAGTCATCTGCAATTCGCGATCGCAACGAACTATAGGGGGCGTTGTTGCATGAGACGAATACCTGCGATTTCTATATGAACAGTCATTCAGTTACTCTGGAGACGCCTTTAATGTAGCGTGTAGCATTGTAACGTTCCTTCTTTATTGTGGCTTATTAAATTTAAAAAAGAAAAATGTTTGATATTCTTTCTTATGCNTTCTGAATCATATTGCTTCAAACATTCAAAAATGCAAGAAGTATGCATAAACACATAATGTTATATCATTTAATTTTTCAGAAAAAGTATTTTGACAAAAATTTTTAATCTAAAAATCATAAACTAAAATAAAGAATTCATAGGATAAAAAAACGATTTTAAAAATTCCTCATATTGAAATAAAAAAACTTCCGTATTGTTTCTCTTTTTATTCTTAATCAGACGTAAAAAACCATTTTGTAGAGAACTATCATCAAATGAGAAAAAAAAATATTTACAAGCAAGTTTTTTATTGTAAAAATTATTACACTTACCTGATTTATAAATCCCAAGTATTCCAAAATGATATGTTCTTTGTTTGAAAACATTATTCTCAAATAATAGATATATAGTTTATCCCTTCATTACTTTTAGATAACATACTGCACAGCAAAATTTAATAATTGTAAGATCTTGATATGAATTTGAATATGTAGCTAAAAACGAAATAGCTGAATTCTAGTTGAAATTATTCTTTCAAAACTAAGAAATACTTACCAAGAAAACGATAAAAATTAATTAAGAATCAGCACAAATGGCACTATTTCAAGTAATTTGGATAATTTTTTATTGTTGTTTTCCGAATTATATGGATACAGAAATATATACTATTCTATAACGAAGAAGAATATTCTATAACTATTACAGTTCTGTACGTTCTGAATTCACATTTATTTATTAGAATGACGAAAGCAATGTTGACTTCACTTTAATTTGTAATGAATTGAAGACAGAAGAAATGCATTTTACCTTAATACACACATCTGTAACAGTATGCGATAGCGAAATCGGAAGTTATCAGTTGCAAGTTTGTTGATTATAGAAGTTGAAAATTATTCAGAAATTTTTCTTCAAATCTTCGGCGTGTTCTGGGTCTGAAAGATATCCCAATATTCTGGAGAGTTTTTTCAAGTTCTTCGGCTTTTCCTTAGGGAAATTTTGATTTTTATTTACTCCTAAGAAAATGGCGTCTGATTCTGCCAATGGCTTTGATGGAACTAAATGAAAACGTGATAAATTAATGTCTGATATTTTAAGGCTCCCGCTAGAGGGCGTACTCGAGCGTTGCGATCGCGAATAAAGGGATAAAATGTATTTTTTTATTTGTTCTCTTCTAAGGGATCATCTTTCTTCTTTTATTGACTCTAGTTCATAACAATTTCAGTACTCTTCTAAAGGGCTCTCTCTCTCTGCTTTTATTGACTCTAGTAAACTAACTATGCATGATAACTAGCGAATATTCAGTAATATTTTTTTATAACGAATTTTTGAAAAATATTTCTGAAATATTATTTTTTAAAAGACTGTAGTTTCTGGATCTGTTGAACCGGATACTATAATGCTGGATCGATCTGATAACGAAGAAATAAAAGTGAAATCAATAGTTGTTGGCTCAAAACATCAGAGAATTGTTTTAAAAGGTATGTTATAATAATAATTTATGCAAAATATCTCTTTAGAACTGTTGCTTAAAAATATTTGCTGCTTACGCTTGCACAAAAGTTTTCAGTTAAAAAAATTATCTTAGGCTTAAAAAACTCCGTATGATTGGTTTGCCAAGCATAAAAAATAAAGTTTTGGTTCTGGTCGTCAAGTTCAGTTAGATGAATTAAACTAACTTTTGAACTGAAATTTTTGCGTCGTATGTCCAGAAAACTTACAGTGAAAGTGTGATGCTCGCGCAGTTCAAACTTCTAAGAATATTAAAAAAAAATTTTAAAAAAATGGAAAAAATTTTGCCTTCCTAATACAAACTAAAAAATTTAATGTTTACACTTTTCGACTCTAAAAATTATCCCTTCAAATTTTGGAATCCGATGAAACAGGAACCGTCATGGCTCAGAAGATAGAGCGTTCGTCTTCCAATAAGGTCAACCGGTTTCGAATCCCAACCATGGCTGGTCAATACGAATTCCGCAACCGACTAGCACCGACCACAGTAATGACGTAAAATATATTTAGTAGTAGACTCAGTAGTAGAAGGATTGTGGGTTCGAGTCCCTTTGTGGTAGGAAGTGTTTCGTGATTTTTCTCTCAATTCATCGCAAATGAGGGTTAGTTCCATCAAAAAAGTCCTCCATGAAGGCAAATTTATCTCAATGCTTGATCCAGGAGTTGCCTTGTCTTCTGGATTGGGTTCAAAATTACAAGTCTATGAAGTTGAACATTGGTAGTTTTAAACCCGAAAATATGGTCAGCTGTTCAACAACGATTATAAAATAAAATCCAGTGAAACGGAAGAGTAAGATTTATCTGAAGAATTCATTAATTAATTCCAAATTTAAAGAAAATCTATGTTATGTTTACAATTTTCGACTCTTATAAATATTCCATCAAATTTTAGAATCTCGTGAAATGGAAGAGGAAGATTTATCTGAGGAATTAATTAATTGATTACAAATTAAAATAACCTATATTTACAATTTTCTTATAATTATACCTTCGAATTTTAGAATCTGGTGGAACGGAAGAGGAAGATTTATCTGAGGATGCTAAAGCGACAACTTGCATAAACGAAGAGACTGCTATAGACCTCGCAAAATTAGCTATAAGAGTACGTGTTTAATTTATTAAATAAAAATTTGTCTCATTGCCAACGCATTTTACGTTAACTACTGTTTTCTTAGAAAAATTAACTACATCTACTTAATTTCCATTCTTGCCAACTAGTACGTTTTTTGCGAAATATTTTAGAGAATGGTGGACATTTAAAAACCAAAGCTCTCAGATTTTTTGGTAATTTTGCAAGCATTTTAAAAGCCTCACCTCATAAGATTTGCAGTTCTGAGTTGGATGAAAAGGAGGATCTTTGCTCTTCGCTCTTATCATTGGTGCTGAGAGCAAAGTTGAGTTGAGGATGATGAGTTGAGATTGATGATGATGATGTAGGAGTAATGATACAAATAAATCATAATGAAGAAACTTTTAACTAATTTGCATTGTTCCGAGAAATCAAAGTACATAATTTTGTGATTCCAGCACTTGAGGAGATGATGATAATGATGAAGATAAGAGGCAAAATTGTTGTGGAGAATTGGTTTAAATTAACCCTTTGCACTCGACGACCTTTCAAAAGTTAAAAAAATGGACGCAATCACTGAAATTTTGAATGATGTTTTTACAAACTTACCATATAATACCCGGAGATCGCTGAATGAAGTGGTAACTAAACGTTAAGAAGAAAAAAAATTCAAAATTAATGTGGTGGGTAGCTTACAGGTGACAGTGGTGACTGACAATCACCTCTCGAGTGGAAAGGGTTAATACTGGGCAGAGTTTGTAGTTTTCCCAGAATTCAGAAGCAAAACAATTTGTGGTCCCAAAACTTTTGGGAAACCAGACTCCACTTGGGAGAAGAACCCTTAACAGGCACACTATTTACACTCTTTTCCACAGGCGATCAGGGAAGCTTTACCTGTTCAAATTTCAAAATTGGATAAATTAACGTACATGTGAGGATTGTGGGTTGGGAGCTGGAATCATTTAGTTAAACTCGAAAAGAATAATAGGTTTCTTAAGAGATTTTCGTGTTAGTCATAGCTGAAAAGACTGTGAGAGCATGCCTGCCAACTACTACGCTTTCTTCAAAATATTTTATAGAGTAGTAGACATTTAAAACCTCAGAATTTTCGGTATTTTCGTCATTATTTTGAAAGCTTCACCACTGGAGAACTGAAACAAAGTGTCGTTGCAAATGAGCTCGTAATTTATTTACGTGTAGTGGTGAGGAAAAAAAAGTTTAAATGACAAAAAATCATACATTGGAACATTAACTTAGCTATCACTGGAATAAATTTTGACAAAAAGCGTGGAAAGTTTTCAGACGTGTGAGAGGAAAGAGGAGAATCCCCTATTATCATTCAACTAACATCAACTTAGCTACCACTAGAATTAGGTTTTTACAAAAAGCGTAAGATGTGGGCTGCCTTGAATATCATGTTACTCAGTTTTTGTAATATCACTTTATCGGTACTATTGCTTGTTTTTTAATAGGTGGAGAAATTCTATCACTCATCCCGAGACATAGAATGGGGATTGCTGAACAATAAAATATATCTTCTTCAAGTAAGTTGCTTGACCAGTCTATTTTTTAAATGTCCCAAACCACAATCTATCGGGATTTGTAACTATATCTATACTTCTGTAATTAAGTAATCCTTTCTACATGACCTTATATGTATATGCTTAAATTACTTGTGTTTAGTGGTGGACAAAATTCGTGTAATTTCAAGTCTAGAAATAAATTTTTTTACCACATTTTTCGGTTCGGGGGGCAATGTCTGCAAATGGGGTATAATCTGGTCTTGTCCGAAGAAACCTTCATTTCCTTGAAATTGCCCGTATGGAGTCTTACTTCTAAAGAAGATGGCTGTCATTGCCCCGAAGGGTTAGACTTCTACCGGTTGGTTCGGGAAAGGTACTTTTTCCCCTTCTGCCACCCAAAGGTAAAAATCGATGGAGGTGTTCTCCTATCGACCACCCGGAGACGTGCTCTCAGGGGAGGGGGGGGGGCCTTACAGGCTCCCTCGAGACCAATATAGCAATTAACAATTAGCAGATATAGCAATTAACGCCAGAATACTTTTTCAATTGTCAAGTCATTCTGGCTGCACTTTTTGAACCCGCCTCACCCCCAGAAGAGGTCCTGTATACTCTTCAAGTGGCAGAACTCGCAATACTCATTCTCCAAACTTTTAGAAATATTAAGCACTGCCGTAGACAAGACAACGACAACAACTTTTTTTCAAAAATTGATATTCACTTAAAAGCAAAATGTTGGATTTTCGCAACAGTATTCATAAATAGGTTTAAAAAATGTAAGACCGGTTAAGGGCAGTCTGCTTTTAACCGCATATTCGGTATGGATTGAAGTTCATACAGAAACTTTGTACGTTAATTCTTTGATTCATACAGAAACTTTGTACGTTAATTCTTTGATTCATACAGAAAGCTTGTCGAAACATTTATCCGATCTGAATAAAAGATAAATAGCTGATTTCAATTTCTTAACTCCGGTTAATCATCTCAGAGTTGAAGACGTCGATTCACCGGAAGTTTTTTAGAACGAAAAATCAGTTCCTTTCTTTGAAAAAATTATAAATTGAAGATATATTACCGAATATGTCAGCTTCTCCAATCTTAACCGCAACTAGTGGTACTAAATTTTATTCTTATCTATTTTATTTCTGGTTTAGCTTTCTTATTTACTTTGATAATTACTAGATATAAACAATTTAAACAAATACATTTGCATACGTACCAAATTTTTATCTTTTCAAAGATGATTTTCCCTAGTGGTAATGACATTAACATTTTAAAAAAACAGCAAACTGCATATATGTATTGCTTAGCTTAAAAGAGCTTAAACACATTATTGTATTATCATATTTTAATTTATGGACTTATTTTATTTATATGAGGAGATGGTCCAAATCATTTTTAATTGAATTCATGAATTCGAGATATAAATGAAAACATGTATTATATTATTAATTTAAGTATAATTTTTTTGCAAAAAACTAGTTAAAGTTGACCCGATATTCGTGAAATGCAGTTCTCAAGGTGTTGGTGAAATTAAATGAAGCTTACCTTATTGGTTAACGAAACACTTTAAATAGTATAGAGAACTTTTACATTCGGATTGCTTCGTATTTAAATTTGCTCACTGGATTGGTTAAAATGATAGAAAAAAAATTACCTGCAAACGAAGAGANAATTTAATTTAATTTAATTTAATTTAATTTAATTTAATTTAATTTAATTTAATTTAATTTAATTTAATTTAATTTAATTTAATTTAATTTCAGTTTAGGTTAGTTTAGTTTATTTTTGGTTAGTTTAGTTTAGTTTAGGTTAGTTTAGTTTAGTTTAGTTTAGTTTAGTTCAGTTTAGTTTAGTTTTGGTTAGTTTATTTTAGTTTAGTTTAGGTTAGGTTAGGTTAGTTTAGTTTAGTTTAGTTTAGTTCAGTTTAATGAAATAAAATTCAATTCAATTCAATTTCAGAGCCGGCCTGTCACAAGTGGAGGATCACTTACTGAATTTGAATTGAGGCATGAATTCAATTGCGTTTTAAGGAGCGAAAGAGATTATTTTACTGTAGCTAATCTTGGGTAAGTGCATGATAAAGTTATAAGCAATGGAAATGTAGAAATCAGAAGTTTTGATTTTCTCAAAGAAAACACATACAATGATTGAATTTGTTTATATTTACTTTAAACTAAACTTTTTATTGACCACTTCTAAACACTAAGGGACGTAACTTAATTTTATACTGAATGCCTGAAAATCTGCAACCAATTTTCTACTTCGTCACTTTGTAATTTTACACCCAAATATATAGACCCACTTTTTCAAGCTCACTGATAGCATTTGGTTTATACAAATCAAATCTTCTGCGATGTTTTGCTTTGTATATCTGAAAAGCGATATTTGAAACAATCCATTTAATCCAGTAAAGAATTTCTCCAAAAAAAATTAAATAAATAAAGATTATAGAGTGACCAGGGTTCATCACTTTTACTATTACGACTGTTTCTTGAAAACTCCGGTGTATTATGAAATGATGCCTTCCTGCGAATAATATGCTATTTTTATAACTACTGTGAGGTTTCAACTGTTACTCAAGTGACTGGTCAAGTATAGCCCATCTAAAGCCAGCGCTACCAACGTTTATTTTGAAAATGGTACAAAACGGGAATATGGAGAAAAGCCACAGTTTTGTGAAAAAGACCTCATTCATTTCCATATTGTTTTGATTCTCACTACATAAAAATAATAAAAGTCATAAAGGTATTGTTTTTCTACAAATATTTTTTTAGTTTGATTTGATACACACATAATTTAATAGGGTAGTATTTTTTTATTTTCAAATTTAGTGGATAACAATTGTAAAAAATGAGTGAAAACAATCCCACGGACAATGCGATGGATTTAAGGTTATGTCAACGTACGTCTCTTGTGAATATCAATTGATTGTTAGGTTTTCTCTTTTGAAATTACATTATGACGCATTCACACACATTATTAATGCAAATACATTTTCCATAGCGAGACGATGAGGCAACCACAAGCACTTCCACTGGTTCAAGAGGTTCACGAGGGAAAAATGCGCAATATTACCGTTATTACAGAGCGCGGAAGCAAGCGGAGCAGATAAAAAAGTCGTTGAATGGAACTAGTGATCCTTCTACGACTGCTGATTCTTCTACAATTAACGTCGCAGGTTACGAAGTTTAACTTCTTCCGCGCGGAGGGACACCACGCACTATTTTTTTTTATCAAGTAATAAATTCCTTTTTCTTTCTTTTTTTTTCAGAGAAGTCATGCCAGGTGCTACGACACCGCTGGGTGCGGAATTAATTCGCAAATATTTTATGACATCTCTTGCAGTAAGTAATTACATATATTGTTTATGGCTTAAACAACGCAATACACGTTGTAAAAGTTCAACGGCTTTTTTACTATAGTTTGTTTATTAACTTTAAAACTAGATTGATTTTCAGAAAATTTAAATCCAAATTTAATTTTAATCATTGAGCCCGTCTGCTTGCTCATCTTCTCTTGAATAGAATCACATACAATCTGAACTTGGAATATTTTGAGGATCTTTTGATAAGTAATGATTATCATACAAATTTCTTGACTAAATCCACTTATTTCGTTTTCAAAAGATGTGTTAATAATAAAGCATGGCAAACATTTAAAAAATAAAAATGTGAATATAAGAAACCCATCTTCTATTCATGGTAACGCGAGCGTGGATTGGATATTGTAATTAGATTAAAGAAATTCGAAGAAGTTAATGGTAATTAATTTCCAAAGTTAAGTAGTGTATTAATGGAAAATTAGATTAAATAATGTAAAATGAAACCTCTTGAGAAAATTCACATATAGTATCTCTTGTTAGGCATGTGATTGGGATTACTTGTGGAAATTGTTTAATAACTTTCTATACGCTTTTTGTAAAAATTTACTCTAGCACTATCGACGTTTATGTTTTAATGTATTATTTTTTATCCATTTAAAATTATTTTCCACACCACTACACATAAATTATTTATAAGTTCAAATCCAACGCTATTTTGTTCTAGCTTTTTTGTGAAGNAAAATCTGCAACCAATTTTCTACTTCGTCAGTTTGTAATTTTATACACAATTATATAGACCCACTTTTTCAAGATCACTGATAGCATTTGGTTTATACAAATCAAATCTTCTGCGATGTTTTGCTTTGTATATCTGAACAGCGATATTTGAAACAATCCTCTTAATCCAGTAAAGAATTTCTACAAAAAAATAAATAAATAAAGATTTAGAGTGACCAGGGATCATCACTTTTACTATTAAGACTGTTTTTCGAAAACTCCGTTGTAATATGAAATGATGGCTTTTTGGAATAATATGCTATTTTTATAACTACTGTGAGGTTTCAACTGTTACTCATATGACTGGTCAAGTATAGCCAATCTAAAGCCAGCGCTACCAACGCTTATTTTGAAAACGGTGCAAAACATGAATACGGAGAAAAGTCACAGTTTTGTGAAAAAGAAAAGCGTTTGCAATCCAATTTCTCAATATTTAAAAATAATTTCCAATGCGGCATTACCAGGGCTCATCAAAATTTGCAAAAACTGAGAATATGGAAGGGATTTTGATAACGTTCATTTAGGTAGAAAAATATCGCCAAATTTAAATTATTCAAGTTTGTCTGTTCTAAAACCTAGATAATTCTTAATGGCAAGATTATTTAGATAGTTTAAAATTATCGCATTGTTTCAAGTGTAAAGCACTTAAACTATGGCTTTTTTTATTTTCCTTGGCTATTGAGATTGCAAAACAGTTTTCTGGCTTGCGTGCTGCTAACGCATCTTCTACATACACATCGGATATTTTTTTCTTCTTGTTTCAGCACTATTTTTCCCTTTTAGATAGTGAAAAAAATAATATAATATTATGCTTTTCGCTTTCCATGTAGAAAGAACAGCAACCAAAAACTACCGCGTAGAATCAATCGAACATTTTCACATGAAAGCGTTGCTATGTCAGCTGTCAAAATATGTAAAATTTAAAAAGCAACTGTGCTGAAGTATACGAAATCCTGTTAACTAACTAATTACCACATATCATGTGTTTCCTTTTCTTTTACATTATTAATTGAGAAAAAAATGTGACAAAGGTCTTTTTTTTCTTTCAAAAAGCATTATTACATTCCAAGAAAAATAAACATTGCAAAATTTAGAGTGCATTCTATTTTTTTTATCAAGTAATAAATTCCTTTTTTATTTTCTTTCTTTTCTAGAGAAGTCATGCCAGGTGCTACGACACCTCTGGGAGCGGAATTAATTCGCAAATATTTTATGTCATCTCTTGCAGTAAGTAATTACATATATTGTTTATGGCTTAACCAACGCAATACACGTTGTAAAAGTTCACCTGTTTTTTTACTGTAGTTTGTTTATTAACTTTAAAACTAGATTGATATTCAGAAAATTTGAATCCAAATTTAGTTTTAATCATTGAGCCCGCCTGCTTGCTCATCTTCTCTCGAATAGAATCACAGACAATCTGAACTTGGAATATTTTGAGGATCTTTTGATAAGTAATGATTATCATACAAATATCTAGACTAAATCCACTTATTTCGTTTTGCAAAAGATGTGTTAATAATAAATCATGGCAAACATTTCAAAAATAAAAACGTGAATATAAGAAACCCATCTTCAATTCATGGTAACGCAAGCGCGGATTGGATATTGTAATTAGATTAAAGAAATTCGAAGATGTTAATGGGAATTAATTTCCAATGTTAAGTAGTGCGTTAATGGAAAATTAGATTAAATAAAGTAAAATGAAATCTCGTGAGAAAATTCACGTATAGTATATCTTGTTAGGCATGTGATTGGGATTACTTGTGGAAATTTGTTGATAACTTTCTATACGCTTTTTGCAAAAATTTACTCTATCACTATCTACGTTTATGTTTTAATGTATTATTTTTTATCCATTTAAAATTATTTTCCACATCACTACACATAAATTATTTATAAGTTCAAATCAAACGCCATTTTGTTCTAGCTTTTTTGTGATGATGCTCTCAAAATGTTGGAAAAATGATGAATGAAAAATTCAGAAAGCTATTGTGGTTAAACATCCGCAGCTTTTTAAAATGTTTATATATAATACCATTTAATTTTTCAAAACAATAATTTTAACAAAGATTTTTATCAAAAAATTATAAACTAAAAAACNGCACTGAAATCTGGCGGCATTGCACTTTCTTGGAGGAACCAGAGTACAGCCCACCTGTAACAACGTTTTTACCTTTTGCGTCTTGCAGAGTCGTATTCTTTCTCATGTAGCACACGCTATATATATTGGAGAAAATCCTTTTTTTAATCCTGTTTTAATTACTTTAATTCAAATTTTAAAGTAAAAGTGAGCTCTTTGATCATATTTTAATATGAGTGTATTGAATAATTTATAAGCAATTCCTGGTTATTTATGAAGTCAGTGATCTTCTTATTGATTTTTATGACTGAAGACGCATTTTTTGAAATAAGAAGAAATAGCTTATTGTTTTCTGAAATACCCTCGTCTTTGAAAAATAGTTTTATTTCATCATTAAACAGATTAAAACCTTTTACACACATATAGCTTTAGAATTTTCACTCCATTTTTGTAACACTTCCTGAGAGTAATCACTTTTCATTATGTTTTACTCACAGAGTAAAATGTTTACTTATTACAAGTACTTTTTTTGCTAAGACTGTGCATTTACTTTCATTCATATTTTAGACAGATGTGTATGAGAAAGGACAAGTGGATGCATTTGTCAAAAGCATGTACTTCCCAGCAGGTTTTAGTACATTCTGCCAACAAATGGTTATGTCAGTACCAGAGGTAAGAGTTTCTATGTAAACAGAATTTCACCAGGAAAAAAAAATGAGACTGCAAAGGTTATTTTAAAAATTGGTTTCAAAAGAAATGTTTTAAATTTCTCACTATCTTCATGGCTACCGAGTCTACTGATTTTCACGGGAGAATTTCTTTTTAGATTTAGAGAGAGAACAAAACATAAACCGTGTATTTTTTCCTTTATTTAACAAAATTATGTAAGTAATTAGTTTCAAGTATAAAATAATTCCTAATTACTTTGCATTTTATAATCGGCGTTGAACAGTCGTCCCAATTTTTCGTCAATTTATAAGAAATTAGTTACTACATTCATCAAAAGATGAAACTGCTAACATGAAGAGAATTGCATAATAACTATCTAATCATCACTATATACTTTTTTACCAGTCAGTAAAGAGTCTTGTATTAATTTTAAACCGGAAATTTTTCATAGATGCCACAGCTATTTTACTTCTGATGCGTAAAAGGCTTCTCATTTCTTTCCTGAATATGATATAAGTTTTTCTCAAAATGGTGAGTTAATTAAAAATTAGCTAGAAATTTCGTCAAAAGATGGCACTTCTGACTGAAAAACTATAGAACCGTGTTCTCCTTTGTATGTCAGACCTTTCCAAATCGCGCAACAAATGGCCACGACTACCTGTTAATTTAATCCTCTTGCAGCACCCCGTTGTTGCTTCAACTGGTGGTCATTTTTATAACATTGCTTTATACTTTTTTGTCTGTAATTAGCGCTTTCTGTTGAGAATTTTGCGAGTAATTTTACAAACTTGGTCAGAAAAAATATATCGTCACAGTAGCTTCCCACAACAAAACACGTATTTCCTCCGCGTTCATTTCTCTCTTTCTCTTTACTTAATTATATTTTTCACCTGCATAGTAATTTATTTATTGTTTATTTATCATATCTATTGTTCATTTTTGTGAACTTCAGCAGCAATTATTATTGTCATTATTAGCAGTAAATTAAAACTGATGGTTATATTAATATTGCTCAGTTTCACGATAAATAACAAAAATTCATATTATATTAAAGATTATTTACCTTCGAATGACTTAACCTTTTGTCTACTAACGGGACTCATTTGTCCCGACAAATGTTTAAAAATTACTAATGGACAGATGTATCCCACCATTGAGTACGGCCGGGACATATATGTCCCAGCCTCTAAATTGATAACCGCTTGTTAGAAAAATCCCAAATACTAAATTTGCCCTATTTGTAACCTATTTTGTCCTTTTGAATAATAAACGGAGCACAAAAATCATTTTTAGAAATTCGTTGTCAAAGGGTTAACACCTCAGTTAGAATAAGAAAAGGAGCTTATTTTTATTTTTAATTTGGTCATTGTTCTTCTTTGTTTTTAATTTATGAATTTGCTGGTTTCAAATATTTTAAATACAAACTCAGTAATCAGTGTCTTTTTAAAATTTTTTATAGATTATATATAGATATGGTTATGATACATTATTTTCAAAAGGGCTAACTATTAGCATGTTTGGCAGATTATTGGATGATCCTGAATTAGTTGAAGTTGCCAAAGAAAGAGTACCAGATGCACCTAAATCAACGATTTGGGAAGATTTAATGTTCTTAAAGGTGAATGATATTATATATATACATATTGAATATATATATATACATATTGAATATTCACAGGATGAGTCTGAAGAAGGGGGCAAAATGCTTACAGGATGTCAGAACGCTTATATGATCAAAATACAAGCTGTGAGAAGTTAAAATGTAGTTTTTCACTGACGCACTTAAAGAATTAACGCAACGATGGGAAAATATGCTTCAGAAGACATTTTATTCACGGAACATGTGTGATGTACGTACAGTGCGAAAAAAAATTTAACGGATCTCCCTAAATAACTTTTGATCTAATAATCGGATCTTTACGTCCTAGGACTCAATCTTATTGGTTCGAGGGAGTGGCCTTAAATATGTTAATTAAAAAAAAACTTTATTATAAGCTACGAAGCCAGAGAGCAAAAACGTGAATATACTTACCTATAATTAGGAGAATTCGGATCTCTGAACCTCCACAATATCGTAGTCGTAATTTGAGAAATAGTGTCCCCATTGTTTGTTAAAGTTTCAACGTTTTAGACCCCTAAACGTTTATTTTAGTTTCTGTTGTATTTCACCAAACCTCGAGAACTCTTTAAGTGAATTGAAAACATTTTACACACAATTATAAAATTTGTTTTCAAAATATATCTGCGCATAAAATATCTTTTTGTAAATATTTAATATTTTTTATAAATTTATTTAAAAAAACGCGAAAATATTTTGAATTGTAAGGTACAAAAATTTTAACATTATTTTAAAAATTGTAATTTTACATGGAAAAATGCAAATTGGAACGAAATTGGTCAAATATTCGAAATTTTAAGAACAATGTTTCTTTTTTTTTAAGTTCAATTTTTCAGGTACTATTTGATCGATTTTATTTAGATTTATATTTTATCATGTAAAATTACAGTCTTTAAAATAATGTAAAATTTTTTTTGCCCAACAATTTTTTCAACTGTTATTAGATGAAATAATAATAAATATTAAATGTTTTTAGAAAATTATTTTTTTGCACAGAATTATCTTTGAATAAACAAATTTTATAATTGTGTGCAAGAAATTTTCAATTTCCTTAAAATTTTCTTGAGTCATAGCAAAATGCACAAAAAGTAAAATTAACAATAAAGGGTTCAAACTTTGGATTGCTCTCCTGACTGAGCTATGGGGACCCTATTTCCTAAATTGCAACTACCCCTTATATATGGGGATGAGAAATTCAAAACCGTCGAGAATAAAGTACGTTTTTGTGTCAGATTTCTAAACTTAAACGTTCCTCATCACTAATTCATTTTTTCCTCTCGAGCTATCAAAATTGAGTTCTAAAAATGAAGATCAGAATATCAGATCAAAAATTATTCTGGGTGCTATGTTTATTTTTTGAGCACTGTACGAAAATATTGCTTGAAGGAAAACTATGTAATTGAATTGCAAAGAATTGCTCAATATATCTTCCCGTTGAAAATGCAAGTTTCTCACTTATTACTTAGGGAATAACGTACATTTGTGAAAATGTTTGTGATTTGGGTGAAAGGGCCATTCATCGGTAAACAGTCATGGGCACTGAAATCTGGCGGCATTGCACTTTCTTGGAGGAACCAGAGTACAGCCCACCTGTAACAACGTTTTTACCTTTTGCGTCTTGCAGAGTCGTATTCTTTCTCATGTAGCACACGCCAACTAGTCGTTTGGGAAGAACACTCTTACAGCAAGTGCAACCGTTTGTGTGCTATATGCATATTATCACCCACCCCATGTTGAATGTCTTTCAAATGTTTTCTGAAGGATCCAGCTTACAGCTCAACTGCGACAACACTTGTATCTTACGCTTCGGATAGAGGCGTATTCTTCTTCATGTAGCATAAACCAAACAATCTCTTGAGATAAGTACAATTACAGCACGTGCAATAGCTTGCGTGTTATATTAATATTGTCCATTCACGCTATGTAGAATGTCCTCCACAAGCTGCGGCGCTCTAACATTCCTTTCAAGACCTGTGTCTTGCTTGAACTCGGCAAAAGATCCTATTTCACACAATCGCAGAGGCAAACTCTCGAATTAGAATATCTTCTCCCTGGAGAATATTTTCTCCAGTACCTTTCCGGGTAGACCTTCCGTGCCTTACCAGTCCAATGCACCGTACACAAAGTGTATATCTGCCTTTTCACAGCTTCTTATAATCAGCCATCAACTCAGAAATGCACTTTAAATATGCCTGCTCGATGCGAGGATCTAATGCCTTATACCATTTACAACACCGCCTAGCGACAGCACTATAAGCCTATAGATACCAAGATGGAAAAGAGCAAAAACTGGAATGAAAGGCATTTATTTCGAGAAATATTCAATTTCTGTTACTACCGAGATTTTTTTTATTGCTATTGTAGCATATTTATAAAACTGCTTTTTCACTATACTTCTTCTTTACTGTACAGTAAAAAACTGAAAACAGCTAAAACTGAAATGGCTTTGCTACCAGCTTTTCCTCTTTACCGTCTCGCTTATATTTGTTAAGATATATATATATATANCGTTAAAATAGCAAGTTTCACAGTCACTTTGTGAAGTTCACATAATTCGAAGTTAACATCTCTCTCTCTCTTTCTTATATATACCTGTCATTATATATATATATATATAATGAATGACTAGAGATTTAATATTAATACTTTCACTTTTCATTTCCTGATTATAGTAAGTATGTTTTTTTTTCGTAGAATTTATACTTCTTTAATTTTGGTTCCGGAAAAGTTAAGCAGTTGCTTGATAATTATGATTTTCCGTATTTACAATACGAAACAGCAGAAGAAACTTTTGATGCTCTAATGAAGTCCTGTTCTGATTTTAACGAGGTATGACGTTTTATAGTTTCTATACGTATTGATTACTAATTCCTTCTAAAACCGAACTAAACAAAACATAACATATATAGCCTGCTGAAATTTTTAAGCCTAAGTTTATGCTATCTCAAAGAAAGTGTTATGAATGTTTGGACTTTTGGATAGTACGGAAGGCTTTATATTAACTTTTGCTTACGTAATGTAAAATTATTTAAATCAGGAGTAAAATAAATTATCAAGTATTAAAAAAAGGATTTAGATTTTCTAACTCTTTTGTAACTGCTCAAAAAGTTGCAAGGAATCATTTTCGCAATATGTTGATGGATTTTATCTGAATTTTAAAATTCAGAATTACTTTTTTTTCCTATAAGGTGTGATACGTAATAAAACAAAATAAATAAAACAAAACAACGTATTTTGCCTTTGTTGGTGTTTTTTTTTTTCAGTTTTTTTTCTTAATTCAGGCAGCTATGGTGTCTACTAAGTTTAATTGTTAAACTTGCTGAAAAAATTGGAAAAAAAATGTAAAATTAAGAAATTTAAAGCCAAGGAATGAAACTTCTTCAATTTTTTGACTAACGATTATAGCATTAAAAAAGATTTTTTTATTGAATATGTTATTTCAAACCTTTTCTTTATATATTTTAATTCGGGTGCTTAAATCGAAAAGCTTTGTGAGAGAAAATTAATTTTTAAAAAACTATTGTTCTTCAAAAAATATATTGGTTGGTTCTAATGCCACTTGCCACACGGCAAGGCTGCTTATTGAAACCGAGCAAATTTAAGGCAAAGTGTGCGATTCTTGTTTTTCTGTGGCGCCAGCTATGGACAAGAATTCGACCTCTGCCATATCATACGTCACACCTGTTTAAGAGGTGTACCCATTCATACATCCATTCATTCATCCACAGATCGTAATTTTGACCTGAATCAGAGAACGATCGATCACCATCGTTCTCTGATTCAGGTCAAAATTACGATCTGTGGATGAATCCAGTACCCCCAATCCAGTACCCCCAGAGGTATTGATTTAAAAATATATTTGTTTGTATATTGGAGTTTATTTTTTGGACTTTTCTCTGAAATATGATATAAATAATAGCGATAAACAAAGTTAAAAGAGGCATCACAAATATAAATCTTTTACGTATTTTCAGAGTCGCACGTCACTGTGACTGAAATTTTTTATAGTTTGGTCAAAGGCTAGTGACTTCTCGGCATCGATGGATGTCAATTGGATGGCGCTAATTAACGTAGAGGGAACAACTAATTTACAATCTATGATCGGATTACCACCTACTGTAAAAAAATCTTTCTTTTTTTCTTTCTCTTTCTTTCTTTTTTGGAGCATAGATTTCGGCCTGGCATATCGGGATATCTATATCTTAAACAAAGGATCAGAATTTCTTTTCTTCAGGAAAGCGATTAAAAAGCGATTTTTCCCTTTATGTTAATTTTAATTTCAGGGCATCAGTAACTTTTAAACATGATTATAAGATCGCTTATCCAAAGGTATATCAAAGATTTTATCCAAGTTGTGAATCCAAAATTCTGTTATGCCTTTAAAGGCTAGATAATTTACGAGACTTAGGCGGTTTCTGATAAAAAGGTAATTTATTATGTTATATTGAGTATTTAAAACATTATTCGTGGGATATTTACATCGATGGTCTCCCCATTGCAGGGATTGTTTGGATTTGGCCCAGCTTTATCTAGCCATGGAAAATATGACATAGACACGCAATTTGCCTGTCCCGAGCTTTTAAAGTGAGGTTCTGAAAGGAGTGGTTGCAATGATCTTCTTCTCTTCGTGAAACGTCATTCAATTGATAAAATTTGGAGATTTTGATTCGCTAAAAGGATATCGCCATTCTGACGGTGGGAAATTTTTGGGACTATCTTAATTGTTACTTTATCTACAAATTATTGCCCATTAACTGCAGAAAATAATCTTCTATCTGGCCTTATCTGGTTCATCTTGACTTTTTATGGCTCTTTGTGAGAGACCGACTTCTACATCTTAAACTAGATAAGAAACATATGTTTTAAGCTTTTCAGTTAATATAGAAAGACTCGCATGAGAAATTCTATATTATATATATATATATATATTATTCATTTTTTCAAGAAATAAATTTTTTTTTTCGTTATTTATTTCGAAAAAAATTTGAATCGTAATATTAGTAATGTTAGCATATTTTAAAAGTGTGTAATTGTAAATACCAAGATCTAAATTTTGACCAGAATCGGTCAAATTATTTCTAAACAAAAATACTTTAAAATAAACCACGTTTTGAAATTTTCATTTTTGAAGACCTATTTGACAGACTTCCTTAATTTTTTTTTTCATTGCTTAAGACAGAGCCTAAAATTAAGAATTTTTTTATTTTTTATTTTAACATCTAGAAGTAACGCTTAAAAATAGGAATAGCTATGATTTAGTTTCGAATTTATGAGTTTTATAATTGAGTATTAAGAAATATTTCAGTTGTGTAAATATTTAAAAGCACAGTTAAATACCCAAAATTGTAATAACATATACACTATACGGCAAAATTTGAAAAAAACGTAAAATCAATGTAAAGGTCAAAATTTATTGGCCGGGTCAGCTTGGTTGGAATGGCGCCGGTCTCACGTTTGTGAGAACGGGAGTTCGAATCCAGTCGACCAAAGGTTTCCCGTGTAGTATATGTTTACTGGTGCACGTTAAATCTGTCGGGTCACAAAGTCTTCCATGTGCCTATAACAAATCAATACATCTGGGGGTACTGAATTGGAGATTGATTATTCTCTGATTCAAGTCAAAATTGCGATCTCTGGATGAATGAATGTTTGTATGAATGGGTTCGGCTTATAAGCGAGTGTGACATATGGACGTGGCAGAAGTGTAATGTTCGGCCATAGTTGGCTCCAATGGAAAAGAAGAACAATCCCACCCCTTGCTTTAATATTCTACGACAATATCAACAACAAAGGTCAAATTTTTTTTTTAGATGTGCTGTTTTTTTAAATTTGTCTACTGCTTGTAAAGTGATGAACTTAACAAGCAGTAAAATTAAACTTTACAAGCAATTACATTGGAAATATTTATTTATATTTTCCATTTTTGAATTTTAGTCAATTTTGTATCACAGTGAGACGACGGAAAACTCATCACATTGGAATATAATAATTTTTTCAATACTGCATCGCGCTAAAGGACGTAAGTACGAATCGTATTCTTATCTTAACGCAATTAGTAAAATTGTTCATAATTGATTTATAAATAAACAAGTGGCTTTAGGTGATCCTTTTGGTCACCGTTCAAAATTTTCTTGTTAAACATATATGAACTGTAATGATAACCAATCTGCATGCCCAGCACAACTGCATTTAAATATTCCAATTCCTTGTTTTCCCACCTTTATCTTAACATTTTAACTAGTTTTAAACATCTTAACACGGTGAATGCCACGCTAATTTTACTTAGCTTGCCGGTCTTTCCAAACTATAATTAATTACTAACTAGGTTTGCAAATTTGACAGATTTTGCTAGTTTGCTAAAAGGTTTAGCATATCTACTTACTTTACTTAATTTACAAAAATAGGGCGCCTGGGCCGTGCAGAAGGCCCATATCTCATACATCATGAAATATTACAAGTTAAAATAAAAAGTAGTTTGAGTTCAGCAGTCTATGGGGTGCTGTTACGCATGACACATGTAAAAGAAAAAGTAGTGAATTATGTAAGCTTACGAATTGTTTACAAATAGTAGAGGATTAAAATCTACTAAATTGAATTTATTAAACCAAGAATCTCAATTAATAATCTACTACTTTAAAATACTTATTCACTGTCCGGAGCAAGTTGGCATCTCTGTTTATATATAAGACCATTTTTGTGTGTTCTATATTGCATTAATTGCTTCGAACCATTTTAGTAACGATAGTAATATAAAGATATTAAAATTTTACTCAAATTAAGTGTTCCTAATAATCTTGGCTTCGCCGATCACCGGTGACCCCAGTGGAGCTACGTACAAACTCAAAGACGGTCACCCCCCATGGCATTCAACGTGTTAATGATTATATGTCTTCTTGTGAAACAGGAAAATTTCAGATTCCCTGGCATGATGATAATATTAGTGAAGAAAGAGTGAAAACAGACTAGCACCGCTCGCGGCTCCACGGGGATCACCGGTGACTCCCATGTCATTCAACGTGTTAATCAAAGTTTTTCATTGGCTAGCTGTTACCCAAGGTTTTACTCATGCGTAAGTACTTTGGTTTCTATTTTAACTAATTTCAAGAGATGTCAGCAATATTGTCAAAGATCTCTGTGTATTGAATTTTAATAATAATTTAAAATTAGTCCGGCAATCATTGAATCACACAAACTACCGTAATTATGAGATCTGGACATTTCAGAATAGTAGGCAACAGAATTAAAATTATTATCGTAAGATAAGATAAAAAAGAAACACATCCCCAATGCCAAGTTACGTGCTGTACAACTTCCTCGCGCACCTCTCGAGCGATAACTTGAGCATCGTATTATGCATATGCTATTGCTCGAAAAAGACCAGCTCTTCTTTAAAAGATAATCCTAAACATAACTAATCTTCTCTGTAATATTAATGAGTTCTTTTATAACAGATTTTTTATCGAGATCAGAAAAATCATTAAAACAAGAAAATTCTTAAGACAAGAGAATCTTTAAGACAAGAAAATTCTTAAGACAAGAAAATTCTTAAAACAAGAATAATTCATAAAACATTAAAATAGCGATATTCCACTTTAAAAATTGTTCTCTTATTAGTGTAAAATATATTTACACAATTTTTACACTTTATTTCAGAGTTTGATACAGATGTATACAGTGATTTTTCGAGAATTTTAGCATCATCATCTGAAGTAGAAAGTGCTGATGTTCCTTCTTCGATGCAGGTTGGTGTTTTATTTTAANTAGCATATCTACTTACTTTACTTAATTTACAAAAATAGGGCGCCTGGGCCGTGCAGCAGGCCCATATCTCATACATCATGAAATATTACAAGTTAAAATAAAAAGTAGTTTGAGTTCAGCAGTCTATGGGGTGCTGTTACGCATGACACATTTTTGTGTGTTCTATATTGCATTAATTTCTTCGAACCATTTTAGTAACGATAGTAATATAAAGATATTAAAATTTTACTCAAATTAAGTGTTCCTAATAATCTTGGCTTCGCCGATCACCGGTGACCCCAGTGGAGCTACGTACAAACTACCGGTGACCCCAGTGGAGCTACGTACAAACTACCGGTGACTCCCTTGTCATTAAACGTGTTAATCAAATTTTTTGATTGGCTAGATGTTACCCATGGTTTGACTCACGCGTAAGTACTTTGGTTTCTATTTTAACTAATTACAAGGGATGTCAGCAATGTTGTCAAAGATCTCTGTGCATTGAATTTTAATAATAATTTAAAATTAGTCCGGCAATCATTGAATACCACAAACTACCGTAATTATGAGATATGGACATTTCAGAATAGTAGACAACAGAATTAAAATTATTATCGTAAGATAAGATAAAAAAAAAACACATCCCCAATGCCAAGTTATGTGCTGTACAACTTCCTCGCGCACCTCTCGAGCGATAACTTGAGTATCGTATTATGCATATGCTATTGCTCGAAAAAGACCAGCTCTTCTTTAAAAGGTAATCCTAAACATAACTAATCTTCTCTGATATATTAATGAGTTCTTTTATAACAGATTTTTTTATCGAGATCAGAAAAATCATTAAAACAAGAGAATTCTTAAGACAAGAAAATTCTTAAAACAAGAAAATTCTTAAGACAAGAATAATTCATAAAACATTAAAATAGCGATATTCCACTTTAGAAATTGTTCTCTTATTAGTGTAAAATATATTTACACAATTTTTACACTTTATTTCAGAGTTTGATACAGATGTATACAGTGATTTTTCGAGAATTTTAGCATCATCATCTGAAGTAGAAAGTGCTGATGTTCCTTCTTCGATGCAGGTTGGTGTTTTATTTTAAATTTTAAAGCCAAGAAAAAAGAGTTAATATTGTATCTTACTTTACATAAAAATCTGATAATGGTGTCACAGTTTTCCATTTTTGTCTTTGCATTTTTATTGAAAATTACGAGATAGGATCAAGTTTTTCATCGTTCATTAGTTTAGTTGTCATCAGTATAAAATTAATAAAAGTTATAAAGATATTGTTTGTCAATAAATATTTTTGTATCTCTAATTTAAAATTATTTTTCTGTACTGCTGTTATTACCTTTCAATGTCGGATCGAAAATGAGTCGAAATGGATCCAAAAAAATGAATTGGTTCTTAAAACCAACGAATATTTAATGCTCCGAAACGACATTACTTTCCGGATCCTCTGATACTAAAAAAATAATTCCTAAATGCAAAATATGAAATAAACATAAATATTGAATCTTTATTTATCTATTTTAATGAAAATTGCAATTTTGTTAGATAAAGGGCGTATTTTTTTTCCAGAAAGTGGCTAATCAAATCGTGAAGGATTTGGGTGCTGAAAAATTCAAAGCTATGACTGTAGAAGTAAGTATTTCCGTAATATATTAAAATAAAATAAATGCGCGTGCAAGAACTGTACAAAACTGCAAAAAGCATTGAAAGTTAACAGCCCTGTAATTAACAAAGATTTACACATTATTTTATTTCATAACTGTCGCTGAACAGCTGACCCAATTTTGAGTTTGCGAATACCAATGTTCAACTTGTAATTTTGTACCCAATCCAGAAAACAAGTGAACTCACGCATTATATATTGTACGAAATTAGCCCCCGTCGAGAACTTTTTGATGGAACTAACCCGCATTTGCGTTACATGGAGAGGAAATTCACGAAAACCTCGTTTGCTTAGCCCGATGCCAAGGGGACTCTAACCCATGATCCTTCCACCAGTAAGGATATTTCATGTCAGCTCTATGGTCGGTGCAAACCTGAAGCAGAATTCGTATCGACCAGTCATCGTTGGGGTTCGAACCCGATTCACCTCATTGGAAAGCGAACAGCCTTACGTTTCGACTCCTGATCAAACTTCTATCTTACTTCCTTAAATATTGAATTGGGTGCGTTATCAACTCGTCCTCCAGAAGTAAGCTTAGTCGAGTTAAATCAATCATCACTCGCACACGCATTTTATATCTATCTGTCTATCTATCTATCTATCTATCTATCTATATAGGCCGGGCGCAGTGGCTCACGCCTGTAATCCCAGCACTTTGGGAGGC